CATCTTAACTCTTTTTATGAAATATTACACTATTATAAGGAAGCTTTTACCTATCTTATGCCTAAAATTTCTTGTGTTTTCTTACTTAGATGAAATGAAGATTATTAGGTCAAAAGAACGAACTTGGGTAATCCTGTGTATATTGATAAGTTAAGTTCAGATAAATGATTTAGATCACTTGGTAAAATACTCGTTCTCAAAGTGTTATTGACCATTAAACTCTAAAACCCTCATACCCTAGTTTGAAGTCCATTATTGGCAAGAGGGGGTATTTCGCTTGTGTTAGGACACACATAAAATCTTATTGATAAGTAAGTACTATAATGCTTATGATGTCGTATTCAAGTATATCAGTAGAATATAGTGGGTCTGAAAGCATGAAATTCGTTTCATTGTATTGGTGTGAAGGATGATGTAATTTGGTTTTAAGCATTGTGATCATTATGTAAATTCCAAATCATCTTCTCACTTCCACTCGGAAATAGGCATTGCGATTATTATGTAATTTCCGAGATAAAGAGCTTAAGATCACGACTGATTCATGACTGGTTAGGTTGACGTCAATGGTATTAATCCAGTAAGTGATGTTCTATAACGTTGATCTATGACTTACTTTGTGTTCCGTCATAATTAACGGTAAATCGGGTCTCCCCCGTCATCTTCGGATGTTCTGACTCCACCCCATGAAAATCTAGAATTTATTATTCTCCTTGTAGCGTTTAAAATTACGTCATTTACATTTATGTATGCACACATGTGTAATGGGTTAGTGGTCATTTCTTTTGCACTATTTGGACTCACTAGGCGTAAAGCTTAACACTCTTTCTTGAAATGACTTGTTTGTCAGGTTCTTTTAGCGGCGGGACTCCAAAGGTTTAAGGGGAGCGTTGTCTCGAAAAAGGCTTTTTGTGTAGTTAAAGCTTTTGGTATTTCGGAGCGTTGCAATATTTGATGATACGACATTTTGTTGGAGACAATAGAAACACCCATCTTTAATCTAGGCATAGAATTGCTTAGATTAATAGGTTGTTATTCATCGCCTCTTTAATTGTTATGTAAACGTCGTACTTTTCCCCTTTGTTGGGTGATTCTTACCAATCTATAGTTTCCGCTTTGTATTTTGGGTTCGACTTACCTCTTACCTTATTGTTTTTTTTAGGGTGTTACACAAGAGTTTGAAGAAGTTGCTGATCCGAAGGAAAATGCTCCTAACAGAGATGACAATGATGTGGTTCCTAATGTGAAACCAATAAGTGAGATATACACCGGTCCCATTGGTCGAAGAGCTTCAAAGGCGGGAGGAAAAATATGTTCACCGTATATAAATAGACAAATGGACGCACACCGGCCTAACACAAAAGTTGAGTTAATCCTTTCTAACCTAATATTCGCTATTGAAGGCTCTCAAATGTAAGTCCATCCAACTACTTGACACTAACATTTGCATATGTTCATCACATGATTAACTGTATCACATTTGATTATCACATAGACACAATAACTTTAGTATAAAGGAGTAACATACTTCAACATAGAGGTAGCAGAGTTTATCGCGAAATTCTACATTTGCATTTGTATTTTCCTATCATATGAACTCGACTCTTCATCACTACCTACACACCACTTTAAGAGATGCAGAAATAGTTTGAGTTGAGATTTGCTAGCAATCAACTTGCTTTTGATCAAATATATATCAATCACATTTATCACATTGGCAACACATTTATCACATTTCCTGGGATTACTGATAATTGTTTGGATCGATATGCACATATAATTTTTTGTTATATGATTTGAGCATTTAATATGTTGTGGGCTGGTAACACGAAAATTGTTTATCACATGTTAGCACAATTTAGGATAGTTTGTCACAACATACTTTTATTCTATCACAGTGTATCACAACATACTTTCATTATCACAGTTGGGCATAGTTTATCACTTATTAAATCTATGACATTTATGTTCATATGAAAATCTACTAATCAAATAATTTATTAACTCACAGGGACCCGGTATAATAAACATCGAAGGGTCAGTATGCACCACGTTATATTTTCGAAAGCATGGTTGATGATACTTTCATATTTGAGGGTGTGATCGACATATGGGCAACAATGTTGAACAATAATGAACAATACAGAAGAAAGTCTTCCCCTCGAAGGTTATTTTGTGACACCACAACAATGGTATGTGATATTAATATTTAATCACAATATAAATTTTTTTGTTAGAGTCACTGATTTAACATTATAACTTAACAAAAAAAGCCGGACGACATGCTACCACCAAAATTGAGCTACGAAAGCATGTATACTATGTTTGAAACCAGCTTGGAGGCCGCAATGAAAAACGAGAAGGAGCTAGCAACCTTAAGGAATGTAGATATGGTATATTTTTTTAATAATTATATTAACTATACAAATATTAAACAAGGTGCGACAGAAATGGTTGAAATATACTAATGGCGTTCATTTGCATATTTTTTCCCGATTCGAAGACGAAGTCACTTCTACCTAATTGTGTTCAACCTGAAAAATTCGGGCTTCTTAATAATCGATAACACAAAAACAGAGGTTGACATAGGAAGCAAGTATGGGGAACTGCCACCACAATTGGTAAGAGTTTACGAACTTTATCACATGTGATAAACTAAAAATATTTATATATGCAATTTATTAAATGACTAATCACAATACAAATTTGAAACGTAGCACAAGACGCTTAATGACTACTTGAAATCAATTAGGCACCCCAAAGAAAAAATCATGGCTAATGTCACCACCAATGTCTACAACCTGAAATGGAGTACGGTAGGAAATGGTGTTGATTGTGGAATCTTCGTAATGCGGCACATGGAGCATTATATGGGACAAGTGATAAATCATTGGGATTGTGGTTTCTTTCAAGAGAGTTGTGGACAAGAATAACAACTACGATGTTTAAGGCGAAAATACCTTACAAAATTCCTGCTTTCAAATAACAACCTTTTAAAGGATGCACTTTTCAAACAGACACTTGAATTTGATGAACTGGATGATAGTCTGAAAGAATCAATCATCACATATGCATTCAATAAAAGGGAGACGCGTTTTGGAAAAGAGTAAATAGGTAGAAAGTTATAGAAAGTTGGATGTTTGTTCATATCATTTGCAGTTTAGCAATTTTTTAATTTCATCACTAGTAGAACAAAGGACAGACTGTAACAAAAACAATTGGGTTGAATTTGCATATATTTTGGAAATTATGTTTCTATGAGAAATGATATTTGCATAAGCATAGTCATGATGTGATCTTATACAAAACGCTTATCACTTTTGTCGAGTAACAATATTTGTTATGAATTACAGCACCAGGTTATTTTTCCAATCACACAACAATGACATAATTTATGATTTAATTGTGATACGTTCAAAAATATCACAGGACATAAACGAATATATCACGTTGATAAGATCCATAAATTGAGCAGATTCCCAAACATATATAATTATCTAGTACTAAAGCGTTTTATTATTAGATACAATGTGTCATATAACAAAAAAAAAAAACAAATTGCAAGCATATACGAAACGTGATACACAAGGATATCACACGTGATATTCTAAAATTGAAGTACCACCAAAGTTTGATGTAAAAGCATTCTATTTAATAAAACATCATGTAATATTGATTGATCGTCATTTTAAAACAACCATCATTCACATCCAAATTCAAAAGAACTAAATAAAACAATATGATCCAATATTGTCAAATTCATTAAAAAAAAACCTAATTCACTAAGAGATGAAAAAACATTAATTGGAAGAGGCTTTCCTCATAGGGCAATTTCGTATATCATGATTGACAAGCTCCTTGCATCCTCAGCATAATCTTTTTGGCCGTTTGCTTTTTGTTATAGCTCTCTCTCCCGCCCCAATCAGACGCTTACTAGTGCCACAATCTTTGTTACGAATGCCTTGAGGGGGAAGAATATCAATTTTTTCCAGTCGAGGAACACCTACCAACGACTGAAGCACATCATCTTTGTTGGTAAAATCAAGTTTTTCAGGCACACCGCTTAGCACATTTGACTTTTACGAATGGATATTGTTAAGAAAGGCAGTTAACTTCTCCTCGTCACCTTTTAACTTCACTAAACATTGACCAACCTCAAGATGCACGTCATTGGATAATTTGTCAATACGACTATTGCTTCCAATTGATATATGTCGACTACGAAACACATCAACAGGAATGACCCCCCCTCATCCAACGCCTAAGAATATATTGTTGCGGAATTTCATCGAAATCAAGGTTAAACAAAACAGTGAACACATGTTGACATAAGGTTTCGTAGTACTCAAAATGGCCGCAACCACAATATATTGAGTCATCTGAATGAGATTGAGCAACCTAAGATACAACATAATTGGTGATACAAGATTATAACAACACACTAAAATATCACATGTGATATTTATCAAGAATCTAGAATATCACATGTGATAAAGTTAAAAAAATAATTAATAATACTGATAACGTACCTTAAAGTCAAGCTTAGTGGAACAATGTTTTTTCTTCTCCCTTATTGTATAAACTGTGAAACCCATTTCAGAATTAAATTGCCATTGGGAACAAAATCTATAACCCTTGAAGATCTCCTTTTGGACCTTGAAGAAAATAGCACGAGTATACACCTTTGCTGCATGATACTCGATCAACGTATTTGTCTTGAAGGTCGGTGTGATGGTATTCGTCTTATGATCTTCATTGTGTTGCCTATTCCTCTTTTTGTCTATCGCAGTATCATGAGACAAAATGAACTCTAAAAAAATATTAGAATGCTTACCAAATTTTTGAAAAAACAAGTTGGTGCTCTCAGATCTGGAGGTGGTTTTCATTAAACAACACAAAGGTATCTCCCTGAAGTAGGAAGGAATCCAACTGGTTCGCATTTCAATTACGTCCTCAAGCCATGGGTGAGTATTAAGGTCAAACTCATTCAACAAAGATGCCCATTAAATCTCAAATTCATCAGGTTCAAGGTGTACACTCCATACTAATTTTAATAACTGTTTTCTGAAGTTTGTATTCAAAATGATATCAGAACCTACCTGCATCATAACATCACTATAAGGAAATCAAATTTGCAACTCACATATGATACACAACTGCAGTCACATTATTATCACATGATTATCACCGATAACACTAAATATAATACTACTTTCAATCACATGTGTTAAAATCTAGTAAAAACAAAATCTAGCAATTTCAAACTAAATTTCACACATCCTACAATTTAAATTATACCCTAATTTTAAACATGGAAATATCAAGTCACCCAAGCAAAACAATAAAACATTCAACACCTTGGCAGGGAGCTTCTTCATGATATGACACATACATAGTCGATGTCTAGCATCAGGAAACACAACCGGGATTTCTTTCTTAATGGAAGCATCTTGATCAGTCAAAACAAGGGTCGGTTGACGGTCATGAACCTTCAAGAATGACACCAACAACCAAGTATATGCTTGGATAGTTTCTTCAGTGATCAATCCTGACCCAAAAAGCAACTGATCTCCTATAGTTATTAATACCGGTGAATGGTACAAAAACCATGTTATACCTATGATGAACAAAAAAAATAAAATATAATCCGATACCATAAAAATTAATAAATCCAAATTATGATAATATTAAATTAACTTACTTGTTGAAACGACATGTCGCATCAAATGACATAACATCACCGAACTCTGTGTAGTTCAACCTTGTCAACTCGTTGGCCCAAAGCATTGATACCAATTGACCATTGTCAATTTTATACACAAATGCAAAGTTTGTTCCATATTGTCTAATGTTGTTCAACATGTTTACCACCATTTGTACGTCTCCATCACCAACGTAGTTATTGAGATCCCTCTTGAAATTCTTATAATCAACAACACTAGAACCAACCTCATGGTAGCCACCTTTCAAACAAACCTGCAATTTGTGGGCTCTTACAGGCCCAATATTTGACCTCGTCGATTGGTGTACCATAACTTTGTCATCATAGCTGAGTTGTCTACTCTTACGTGATAAATTTATATCAGCATCATCAATCAAATCATGGTTATGGTTGGGACAAAAATAGTATAATCTATATGATGACTGAGTTGAGACCCCTCTATGTATTTAAACCTACTAGACGTCTTACAATCTGTAACTTTAAAGTTTGTATTTCGTACTTGTCTATGATGTCCATCCACTTCAACAGAGTCAACGGACCTTTTTTTTGGTTTTTCATGCTTATGAGAAACAACATATTTTAGTTTGACTATACCACCCTTCCTTGTCTTCTGGGTTGATAGTCGAATATCAAACCCGGCAATGTCGGCATACCTTCGATACATTTCAATTCCATCCTCCAAAGATCCAAAGATTGAACCAACAACCGGTTGAAATTCACTTGGAACAGATGGGATATGAACTCCATCACCGCAAGGACTTTCAATCACTCCTTGAGCTGGTAACACGAAATGATCTGTGAAACAATTACCAATATGTTATAAATAAATAAATCAATATACATATAACCAAATTAACAAAGTCTCATGTGTCATAATAAAACTAAACAAAATTACTATTAAATTAAGTTTGAAACAAAATCAACCTCATCAAGGCTTACATACAATTGCAGCTATACATCAAAATTCTCACTCACATAGATATCAATATCATACTCATTGATTTGATGTTACAAGTTGAAGGTGAAATTGACCATCTTGATTACAATATAGTTGTCATTTTTCACTTGCTGATTTACGTTATTTACTAGCATCAATCATATGTCTATTAGACTACAAAATTCTACATTTGCATTTGCATTTTCCTATCATATGAACTCGAGTCTTCATCACTAGCTACACACCAATTTAAGACATCCACAAGTAGTTTGAGTTGAGATTTGCTAGCAAATAACTTGCTTTTGATCAAAACATATATATCAATCATATTTATCACACCATTATCACATTTATCACACCATTATCACATTTCCTGGGATCACTGGTAACACACGAAAATTATAAGATGTTTATCACATGTGATAAACATCAAAATTTTCAATTACAAAAGTACAATAACATTAAATTCAAATCAACATATACCAATAACTATAAATGGATAAAAAAAATGTTTACATTCACAATTCCATGTACTTTTTATCACATGTGATAAAAAGCCCAAAATATCATTCATGAAAATTGATGGCATATTTTAATGTTATCACACTATTATCGTACCTTCCTCGTCATTATCAGAACTGATTTCAAAAAAGCTATCTTCAAGAAAACAATCTTGAGAAAGTCCTCGGAATCTTCGTTCGAATAACTCGATCCTATACAAACTTCCTTACCAACAACATTCAAGTCCTCCATTCTAGATCGACAAAAATATGGATACTATGAACGATATGAAGAAAAGGTATTAAGAAAGTCGATTGTCATGAACGATCTGGAGAAGAAGGTTAGATAAGAAAACTAACCAGAGGAAAAATCGTGGATACGTGATCAACAAAAAGGATAATTATGATTAATTAAAATAAAATAAAAATTATAAAAAATACTTAATTACATCGATGCCCTTATTAGATTTATATTTAATATAAGTTAATTTATTAATTAAAAAAGTTTGAGGTTATTAAGTTGTTCTCGCGTTCTCATAAATTACAAGGGTTCTCGTTTGAACCTCCACCTATATATATATATATATATATATATATATATATATATATATATATATATAAAGAGAGAGAGGAAACTTCAAATCCAAATTCCTTTTTCATTGTAAACGTGAGAACTGATCTCGGCTTTCCATTTTATTTGATCCAACAACTTACATTAAATATAATTTTTAATTAAAATTATTAATTAAGGTGATTAGGAGTAAAAAGACATTTAATTTCAATTCATGTCTAACTACCTTTTTTGACTTCTATTTTCTTTTTTAATTAAAAAATATATACCTACTAAAAGTTTAAAGTAAATTATTTTAAAAATTACTAATATTTTAATCAATCAAATTACATAAAAAAACGAGAACTTCAAGCTTTTCGATATGACATCTATCTTGTTGTAGTTTTTTTTTTTCGTTTTAACCGTTTGTTACATGAAATGGTGTATATGCTATATTCATTATGAATATTTATGTATGTTCAAGTGAGTACAAAAGCTCGATACCGTAAGTCCTTAACTCAACATCATATTTTTCAATACTTTCTTCGATGTTGTTAGGCAGCATGTTCTTCATTACTGTAACCCAACACCTATCCAGACCGATCGAGAATCCATCGAGACCGAGCGAGAACCGATCGAGAATGTGTTTATATGTACTAAACCATAACCTACCACATTCATTTTCCATCAAGAACCTATCAATTGATTTATTATTTGCTTGTGTATATAACCATAGATTGTCACTTTCATCTTAAATCGAGAAGGATCGGGAACCCATCGAGAACAATCAAGAACACATCGAGATCTATCGACAACCCATTGGAACCAACTGATACCAATCGTGACTAATCAAGAACCCATCCATTGACTTGGTGTGTGTTTGTTTGTTTAAAACCATAACCTACCACTTTTAACTTTTATCGAGATTGATCGGGAAATTTATGGAGATGATTCGGAAACTCATCCAGATCAATCGAGAACCCAATAAAAAAAATTAAAGTATGTAGGGTTGAAACTGTAGTATATTCATGATGAATAATATGTCTATACATGATGAATATTATGATGAAAATTAATATTTATGATAAATATCATACTAATATAAATACTAGAGAGTTATTGTATACAGGTGATCATACATAAATATTTATGATGAATAATATGTATATTCATGATAAATGTTACAGTGAAAATGTATATTCATGACAGATATCATACTAATGTATGAATGTTGAAAAATTGTTATATACACATGAACATATATAAATATTCATAATGAATAGTATGTATCATATTGATCTATGAATATTAAAGAGTTATTGTATACATGTGAGCATATATATATATATATATATATTCATGATGAATTTTATAAAGAAAACATATATTCATGATGAATGTGATAATGAAGATGTATATTGATGAAATTTGTTGAATACACGTGAAAATATATAACTATTCATGATGAATGTTACAAATTAAGTTATATATTTATGATAAATATCGTACTACTGTATAAGTATTAGAGAGTTGTTCTAAATATATGAACGTGCATCAATATTCATAATGAATATCACACAGATATACTATTTGACGTAAAAAATGTCAAAACATAGAAAAAAAACTTTATTGAGATAGATGTCAAATCAAAGAGAATAAAATGCTCAATTTTTTGATGTAATTTGCTTGATTAAAGTATTAATTATTTTTAAGATAGTTTAGTTTAAAAATTAAGGTCGTAAAAGTTTATTAATTAAAAAAAGAAAATAAAAATTCAAACATGGTGGGATTATCCTACTTCCCTTTTTACCCTTAATCACTTTTTAATTAACTTTTTTATGTTTTAACCATTAATTATGACCAAGATTTGTGTAACACCTGGATTTTTTCCCTTTTTCCTTACCCTATTCGCAACCAGAGTTTTCGACTCGTTGGAAGGTACGCGTTATCATGCACCTAATTAAAACTTAAAGCACTTAGTTCTTTTAATCTTTTTTTGTAAAGTTTATTTGTGTATATATATGTATTTATATATATATACATATATATATATATATATTTAGATAAGTATTTTTTAAGAAGGAGAAGGGGAGATTTTAGAATCAGTAGAGTGAAAGAGGGGGGGTAGCTGCAGCTTTTGACCTACCCATTTCATTTCACCCTTTCTCTTGAGGTTTCTCCTCTTCCATGGAGGTTCTTAACCTATATGTAATAATGTGGGGAATTCTGTTTAGGAGGGGAGGACAGCAGAAAAGAAAAGAAAGAAAGAAAGGGAGAAAAGAGGATGGAGATCATCTTCTTCACCTGGTAAAGAGCGGGCAGACCCCCCAGTTTGATCAACGACTGCTGTTTGGGCGTGGGAGGAAGAGCCTGTCTTGACTTCCCTTTGCAACAACTACAATCGCCTCACCGGTTTGGCTTATCCCAGCGCAGGCATCGCCCTGCATCTCCAGCCACACCCGCTCCCACTCCCGCACCTTGGACCACCAGTCATGCCTGCGACGTGCCACACTAGACAGCCGGCGCTGCCGTGCCATCTCGCACAGCAAACAGCAACCGGCTGTGTTGTTTTTCTTCATGTCCTCTGCCCGAACAACACACAGCAAACAGCAAATAGAATCTAGTTGTGCTGTTTTTTTCTTCGCGATCACTGCCCAGACAACAGCTGCTGCTGTGCTTCGCCAAACAGCAAACAACAGGCAATAGGCCGCTGTTTTCTCAGTCTTCCTAGCCCGGACAGCAGGCGATGTCGTACCCTCGCGAACATCAAACAACGAACAACAAGCAACAGTCGTTGTTGTCCTGTTTTCTTCATCTTCCTTGCCATTTTTGAGTTATCCTTCCGTCTACCTATTAGTTCAAAGATTTGGGATTTTTACTAAATCCTACTATGTGAGTTCATCCTACCTTTTTAGAAGCTTTATACTAAATGAAAGTTATGTGCTATACTTATTCGAATACTCTAATCCTAGGTGATTGTTTTGCTTAGTCGATATAGAGATTTTAGGCCAAGAGGGCGAATTTGGGGATCCTAATTATAATTATAAGATGAGTTCAAAAAAAATGGTTCTAACCACTTAAAGTAATTGTTTTAAAGTAAGGTTGGTCATAACACTCTAAAACCCTCATGTTCTACTTTTTGGAGTAAATTATTGACGAAATGGGAATGTTATGCAAAATTTAAGTGATGTGCAAGTGGTTATATGCTTATGTAAATGCATTTAAGTATGTCATTAGAATGTAACGGGTTTAAAGGCATGGAAGTCGTTTTTATATTATATTTGTGTGAAGAATGGTGTAAATTGGACTTAGACATTGTGATTATTATGTAATCTCCAAATCACCTTCACACTCCCACTCGGAAATAGACAGTGTGATTATTATGTAATTTCTGAGATAAAGAGCGTAAGATCACGACCGACTACATGACTGATTTAGGTTGATTTCGACGGTATTATACCTGTAAGTGATGCTCTATAACGTTAATCTATGACTTACTTTGTGTTCCGTCATAATTAACGGTAAATCGGGTCTCCCCCGTCATTTTCGGATGTTTTAATTCCAAACTTCGAGTTATTCAAGTCTTACTGTCACTATTCCTGTTTAAAGTTACGTCAACTATATATATATATATATATATATATGTTCCTTTATGGATACGTTAAATTTTGTTGTTTGGACTCACTAGGCGTAAGCCTAACCCTCTATCTCTCTTGATATAACTTATTTGTCAGGTTCCTTTAACGGCGGGACTAAAATGGGTTGAGGGGAGCGTGGTCTCGTAAAAGACTTTTGTGTAGCTAAGTTTTTGGTGTTTTGGAGCGTTGCAATTTTTGATGATATGGTATTTTGTTGGAAACGATAGAAACACCCGTCCTTAATCTAGGCATGCGATTGTTTAGATTAATAGGTTGTTATTTATCGCCTCTTTAATTGTTTGTAAACGTTGTACTATTTTTCTATATTGGACAATTCATATTAAACTCTAGTTTCCATTTTGTAAAAAATTTGGGTGTTGTTTTTTAAGGTGTTACAAGTTGGTATCAGAGCAATAGCTTAAGCGAACTAAGTAAGGAGCTAAGACGACTAGACTTAAGCTGAGATTGTGGGCATTAATTTGTGAGATATGGGTAGAAACCTTTAAGATAGGAGAGCCTTAGAGTCAACGGAGATACATGATTCATGAATTGTGACGACGGTGTTGAGGATCCTTATGTATAACCTATTCGAAATTTCACTTAGCTAATGCTATTTTGAGTATGTTGTTAAGTAAGTGTGCTCGAACCTACTGTTATTGCAAGGACTTATGAATGTGTCGGTACGTATTATGTTAGTCCCGTATTTTCCAATCTTAATTTCTCTTTTTCTTTTCACTCTCTTGTTTGACAGACTAAATGGTGAATACTCGGAGTAGACGGGATACCTCACCGGAAGGCCATGCGGTAACCGAGTCTACCGCGGATCAACCGCCACGAACCACCTTTGCAAGGATTCATACTAGGGAAGACGCCTTGGGAAGAGGAGTTGAGCAAGTTCCCCAAGTTGATCTTGCCACCTCAAATCCTGTAATCGAAGAGGAAACCCCGGAGTCAAGAATGATGGGCACAATGATGAATGCTATGAACAGGCTATGGCCCAACAACAAGAATTCTTTATGAAGCTGTTAGAGGACAGAGATGCTAACAACCGTAAGCATGAAACGGTTGCTGAGAATGTAACTATTGGGGGATCTGGGGGTACCGGAAATGGAATACCAACCCAGGAGTTAGCGACGATTAAAGCGAGACAAATAAGTAGAGTTTGCTCTTACAAGACCTTTCTATGTTACAAACCACCGGAATTCGTGGGGTCGGATGATCCTGTGGTGTGCATGAATTGGCTTCGAGAGATCGAGCAAGCTTTCCGGGTGTGTGATTGCGATGAAGGGAAAAAAGTGAAGTTTGGCTTTCAAATGCTAAGGGGTGCAGCCCTTACCTGGTGGAAGTTACAGAATTGGCCAAGATGAGTTGGGTCACGTTCAGAGAGAAGGTGATGGAAGAATATTGCAATGAGCAAGGGATGGACCGCATTGAAGAAGAGTTCCAAACGTTAAAGAAAAGGAATTTGTCGGTAAGAGACTACACTCGACTCTTCATGGAAAAGTTAAATTTAGTGGGGCATGTAGCCCCATCGAAGAAGAAAAGGATGAAAGCCTACCTCAAATGGTTGCCTACAGACATGATGATGATGGTCAGGAATAGAGATGGCCATCCGTAACCAGCCCGGCCCGTAACTGACGAAGGCCCGTAACCGAGATCGCCTGAAGCCCGTAACCGAACCGGGACCGGTAGTAACCGGTTGTGGACCGACGGTTACGAACTGGTTGGACTTTTTAGAGATTTCTTGGACCGGAACCGGTTACGTAACCGATTAAGGGCCCGGCCCGGCCCGGCCCGGTCAACGAAAAAGTCAACAAAAGTCAAAATAGTCAAACTAGCCGTTGGAAGTCAAAGGAGCCGTTAGATTTAGTCAAACTAGTCGTTGGAGCCTTCTTATGACCGTTTTTTTCATCTTTCTAGCTACCAAAACATGTATAAATAGAGATGGAAGTTCCTTAGTTTGTTACCAACTCATCTCATCTTCAAAAACGCAAAAAACGCTATCAATTCTCAGTTTTTCGCTTCATTTTTTGAATTCGTTACGTATTAATTTCTCGGTTCCACTTCACAATTCTCGTTTATTTCTCTCTTTTACTTACGATTTACAAAATGGCCGGTGAACAACCCTCAAACGAACAAATTGCCCAAGTTCTCGCCGAACACGGACGAAAGTCCGAGATTTGGAATCACTACAACTTGGTGGTTCTCACAACTGGGAAACGAAAGGCACAATGCAAAATGTGTCAAACTCTCCTTACGGCGGAAGGAAATTCTACGTTAAGGAGGCACACCGAAATATCGTGCTCAGGGTTGAGGTCGGGGGTGATTCGAGCCAACCGATACTTGACACACAAGGTCAAATATGGAACTACGATGCCGATTTAAACCGACAAATGACTACACAATGTGTCATTCAAGTCGGTTTGCCTTTTGGACACTTCGACAACCCTCACATTACGAAGATGATTCAAAAGACGTTACAACCACGATACAAGCCGGTAAGTCGTCAAACCCTTAGACGTGATGCTATAAAAATGTGGACAATTGCCAAAGACGAAATGCAACAAATGTTTTCTTCTTTGCCTAACAATATTTCTTTAACGTGTGATGTATGGAGCGCACCATACGGATT